CTCAAATAAACCATAATTGGATGCACAATGGTGAAAAGGATCACTCTGTCTGAAGCAACCGAAAAGTACCCAGAGGGCAGGAAAAGGAGTAGAACTCTGTGCCAGGGGTGTCTAAAGGGCCTCCAAGGGCCTTATTTCCCAAAACTTGCCAAAACACATGTGTTAGTATCCATTCATGCTTCATCCATAAAAAAATTCACATAATTTACACCGGTAAGTCATGTTTATTCTCAGTTGAAATCAACGAGTCTGTTTACATGCAGAAAAAATCATGTCGGGCGAATTTTGCCACAACAATGGGTCTCTGGAGGCATTTGTCAGGAGATTAGAGAGTGTTTCATGTTTTGTGTACAAGATAGATCAGCAGCTACACATCACACTTATGCCGATGATCACAGCACACATCCCACTTATGCCGATAATCACAGCACACATCCTGTTGGGCATAACAGTCATGTCAGATCAATGGAGAGCATATAATGCAATTGGCACCACTCCGGGATTGACTCATCAAACGGTCATGCATTCTGTTAAGTTTAATGGATCCAAACTCAGGTGCCAATAGCCAATACACAAAGCATCGAACGTTTGTGGAAATCTGCAAAAGAGAGAAACAAGCGCCACAACGGCACACACAGACATATGCTCGATTTGTATATGTGTGAGTTCATGTGGAGTCAACGTGTTAAAGTAAATGGTTTTTATGTCTTCAACGTCATTCTAGACGATATTGTTCAATTTTGGCCACTTCACAAGCGGAGGACCTTTAAAGAAATAAGTATGTTTTTATTCAAAATAACATTTGTTTTATTGGAAGTGTGAAATAATGTATAATAATTTTTGAATTAAAAGTTTTTTAAGCTAATTCAGATTGATCAGGTTTAGGGATACATTTTAGGGTTCATGTTAGGTTTAGGGATACATTTAGGGTTCAGGTTTGATTTAGGGATACATTTAGGACATAAGTTCGTGGGTCACGATAACCAAGATGGCGGCCGCGGGCTGATCTCTCCGAATTGTTTTTTATTCAAAAGAACATTTGTTTTATGGGAAGTGTAAATAATAATTTTTGCGGTGAATTAAAAGTGAAGTATCCACTTCTGATACCGGGTCCGAATAGCCGCAGCCAAACTTTTCATTACAATTACAGTACAGATAAGACAGTAGCCGATTTGCCGCCAAAAAAAAATGCAACTTCGATCTTGAATCTTGATTGATGTCATGTTAATGATTATAAAGCTACATTTAAAATAGAATTAAAAAATACAATAAAATTATAAACATAAACGTATTCTTACTTGCTTTTAGCATTGTTCTTAGTGTCTCTTGAACGCTACATATAAAGTATTCAAATTCAAAATACGACACATTCCTCGTTTGATACAACGGCTCTAAGTCTAAGATGGCAACCCAACAGGAAGTATTAGTCATAAATCGTCACGTGACCAACCGAATCTATGAAGTCCTCACGTGACCTGCTGGGTCCGAATAGCCACTGGCAGCTATAGGTACCCACTCCGAAAAAAAACAAAAAAACTCCGTTTACTTTACGATTCAATTACACTTTTAATTAATTACAATAGAGCGTCGATTTTCCCAACACCGATATCCAAAACCCTGGTTTTCCGAACATCACCTGTCTTTCATAATTAATAAGATCGTACGCAATGTACGTGCCCTGAATCATTTTTTTTACAAACATTTTTAGGGCACCTTTCCGAAACAACCCCTATACCAATTACTGAATTATTTCGGATAATCGACGCTCTGCTGTACATCAATACATGTCACGTATTTATTTGAAGTAAAAAAAAAAATAATATATTGATTTATTGAATCATTTAACTTTGATATAAAATGTACATCCTCTAGTCATTTTAATTGGGTGCCTGACTTGTAACAATCCAGTAAAAACATTTTCATTGCTCTGTAGTCTGTAGATAAGGCCCCATTTTATAATTAATTAACGTTTAGGCTTCCCTAACATGACGTCAGTTGTTGTTGAAGTCCAACCTCACGTGACTGGGGGAAAACGTTCCTCGTGATCTTGAAGAGTTGCAGTGCGGCGGCGTATTTTAAGTTTAATTAATATAGTTATTTCTTTTTTTTTTTAATTGCCTAGGGAAGCGCCCATGTTGCCCACCCATAGTTACTCTTCTACTCGACGACAGTCACATTTTTTGCATTTTATTAGTTGTCCCCCCCCCTCCCCAGTGAAAAAATGTGTAACGTCACGTTTAAAAAAAAAATCTAATTTTGAAAAAAAATCTGTATTTAATTATTCTAAAAACTTTAATTTGAGGTGGAAATTGCCTCAGGTGTTATAGATAGGCCTACTATGAAACTCATTTTTCTAATAATACTACATCTTAATCCATTATGGGAAAACGTGAAAGAATAAAATTAAATCTTACTTTTGTTATGAAAATTTTATGTATGTTTAGATTTGTTTAGGTGTGACGTGACACTGGGGGGGGGGGGGTCCTAAAAAGGTCATTTTAGCGGGACGTAATTTACGAACGACCCTTTAGTAGAGCAGACGGGAAAAAACTTTTCCAATGACACTGGGGGGGGGGGGTCCTAAAAAGGTCATTTTAGCGTGACGTAATTTACGAACGACCCTTTAGTAGAGCAGACGGGAAAAAACGTTTCCAACAACCGTGTTAACTTTGACCTTTTAACTAATGACGTTGTGTAGTCCACACCACCAAGCTGCCTAAATGTGGGCAAACACTGTGCCGTGGTCGGAGAGGACGTTGAGAAGTGCTCATTCACGGGATGTGAGGGATTTCGGACCTACTTCCAGGAGTACCGAAGGTCCTGGGAGAAATGATTCCAAAGAGAAGTACAAACAGCATTAGAGCTTTTTTTTTTTTTCCAATTTGGTACCGCAAAAAATTTTCTTCCATGCGTATGAAACATAGTCAGCATTGTTGGTAACCGTGGCGATAGCAAGTACAGAAAACCGTAGCGATAGCAAGTACAGAAAACCGTAGCGATAGCAATTACAGAAAACCGTAGCCATAGCAATTACAGAAAACCGTAGCGATAGCAAGTACAGAAAACCGTAGCGATAGCAAGTACAGAAAACCGTAGCGATAGCAATTACAGAGAACCGTAGAGATAGCAAGTACAGAAAACCGTAGCGATAGCAAGTACAGAAAACCGTAGCGATAGCAAGCACAGAAAACCGTAGCGATAGCAAGTACAGAAAACCGTAGCGATAGCAAGTACAGAATTAAGTTCATTTAAAATTTAAAAATAAATTGTGGAGATCATCACCATGTCACGTGGTTTCGATTGATTTTGATTGACAACATTTGTTTAATTGAAAGAGACAGTGTCGCCACCATTGACTTACAGAAAGAACTCTTTGAAGAGCTTGCCACAAAGGAACGAGCGATTCTTTTCGTTTAAAGCCATCCAATTTTATTGTTCTGCATTTTGTGCTTGGGGATATTTCAGCCCGAGGCTTACAATCCTGTGACATAACAACAAATTATTTTGTTTTTCCCAATCTTGTCTAAAAAATGTGTTATGCCCATTCCATTATTGAGCTGTAGAGCTTAGAGGAGAATAGCCAAATCCCATCGCAGTTTCTTTTCACTCGTGTCTCCCGAGTTTAATTCGCAAAGATCAGAATTTCATTGTTCAGGCCTAACTAACAGCCCCACAATCTGTCCCTGTTTGACTTAAGCTCGATACGATAAGAACTTTCTTTCTTTTTCTTTCCATCTTTGTTTTCTTTGCTGTCTGTTGACCGTCTGGAATCTAATCTTATGTTGACATCACTCATGCTCTTTGAGAGCGTACAGCTCTTTTCTAAAGGTCAGATGAACAACTAGGATCTTTTTTAAGGGGGAGGGGTGGGTGGAGGTAGGTTTTTGGTTTGCTCTTTTATAAAGGTAAGATGAAAATAACTAGGATCTTTCATGGGGGGGGGGGGGGG